AAAAAAAAAGAAAGATATCCAGATTGGAAAGGAAAAGTAAAACTTTCTTTAGTCATATACAATATGATCCTGTAAGAGTTCTTTTGTGAAGTCATTTACTTATACATTCACAAAACTGTTTTATGGTTAAACCTAAACAGGTGCTCAACCAAATTAAAGTATTCAGAACTTAATCCACAATAAGAAAGTAAAATCTGTATATTTTGCATTTAAGAACTCATTATTCTATGCTGCTATCAAGAAACATTCTGAATTACTAACTTCAACTCAACAGGCTAGCTAAAATTATTTTGGTTGTTCTCAGTTTATATGTTATAAATAATAATCAATAGACTAGTTTCAAATTAGTCGAAGTCAACTTAAGACAAATATTTGCTTTCTCAGCCCAGCCCAGAGCAAAACAAGTTTAATAGTTAAGGTATATTACAAAAGATAATAATAATAATAATTAATTAAAATGCCACAGTCAAATTACAAATGAGTGTAATATTTTACATTAAATAATATTAACTGATGTTCCTTTGGATATAAATTTTAATATTCAAAATTTAAAGTATTTTGTGTAATCTACACAGCAGGGGTCAGGAATTTGGAATTTCAGCATTAACCTAGCCTTCCTGCTGATCTACTACTGCTAAACCTCCAGTTAGTTATAGTAACTGAGCCCTTTCTCAATCAACTGAACCCATTCTCAATCAAATCCAGAATTTAACCCTTTTACTATAGGAATTATTTTCAGGCCTTGTTTCCCCCAAAGCCTTGTCTCCCCCATAGCCTTGTCTTCTCTAGCTGGGAGCTAAACGTCAAACTGGGGTTTTAAGACCCCCTAATATCTAAAGTAATGACTGGATGCTACAGCCATACTGGGGGTATTCACTGTCACTGCCTAGCTGTCCCTAGGACCCATTTCAGAACTGCCCTGTTCTGGCCTATACAATGAACTAAAGTTCTGACATTAAGTCTGCAAATGTTGGAAGATTTGCCATCATATCATCCTTATAAAGAATAAATAACTTCACAAAAGAACCCCTATTTCCATGTTAAATATAAAAAGCAGTTTGATAACAGAAACAAAGTGTTCAAAAATATAATTTTACACTTTTTCACATAAACAGGAGTATAAAGATAGTGTTGATTATAAAAAAAGAAATGTAATATGTCACATATCAAACACAATAATACAAGAAGTTATTTTTAAAATATGTATTCCACAGGATATAAGTTGATCAAATATTTGATAAAGAGCAATCAAATTCTTGAAAATAGGAAAATATTATCACTAATACCTTTAGAAGGAGAAATGTAAATAAGTTCACATATTTTAATTTCAGGAGATTCAGCCACGTAATACATTTCTTGGGATTAATTAAAACTACAGTGTTCAGGGGGTGCCTAGGTGGTTCAGTCAGTTAAGCATCTGACTTGGCTCAGATCATAATCTCACAGTTAGTGTGTTCAAGTCCCGCGTCAGGCTCTGTGCTGACAGCTCAGAACCTGGAGTCTGCTTCAGATTCTGTGTCTCCCTCACTCTCTGCCCCTCCCCAGCTCACTCGCTCTCTCTCAAAACTAAACATTAAAAATTTTTTTTAAACTTAAAAAAAAAAAAATGCAGACTTCAGGGGAGCCTGGGTGGTTCATTCAGTCGGTTGAGCAACCCACTCTTGATTCTGGCTTAGGTCATGATCTCATGGTTTGTGAGTCAGGCTCCATGCTGACAGTGCAGAGCCTGCTTAGGATTCTCCCTCTGCCCTTCCCCTGCTCACTTGCTCTGTCTCTCAAAGTAAATAAACTTTATAAAAAACAAACAAAAAAACAGTCTTCCTATTATTAATACAACACTAAATGGTATTTTATCTAAATTAAAATAAAAAACAATAAAGAAAAATTACTATCTGTGGAAAATCTTCAATAGTATAAGTACTATGTATAAGAACTATTTAAAATTTTATTATGACATCAGAATTAGATTTCATTTTTTAAACCAAAATAAACTATATCATTACAAAGGAAAGACGTAGGAAAGGGAAGGAGGGAGAACTGCATGTTAAATCAGTATCTCTTTTAGTCTACTGGGATTAACATAAACATGGTGCTTCCATTGTGCAAGATACATTGAAATGTAGGAGCTATTTATTTCATTTACCTCCACAAAGTAAGAATGTAATACACAAGTAAAAGACCAAGAGAAATATGTTAGTAAAAAGAAAAAGAAGATAGAATTACTAATAAAGCTTATATTTAGACAGGAAGAATTTTTTTAAAAACCTCCAACTTTTATCATTAAAAAAAATCTAAATATGAAGACTGTTTACTCACATTTAAAGACTCATAATCATAAATGCTTATTTAAAACATAAATAATATGTTTCTCTTTCTATTTACTTCCAAAGCTTCTTATGAAAATGTTAGAGGAAATATATGCACATAAAATTAAGCTATGAAGGGGCGCCTGGGTGGCTCAGTCGGTTAAGTGTCTGACTTCAGTTCAGGCCATGATCTCACTGTCTTTGAGTTCGAGCCCCGCGTCAGGCTCTGTGCTGACAGCTCAGAGCCTGGAGCCTGCTTTGGATTCTGTGTCTCCCTCACTCTCTCTGCACCTCCCCCACTCATGCTCTGTCTCTCTTTCAAAACTAAAATAAAAACATTAAAAAAATTTTTTTAAGATTAAAAAAAATTAAGCTATGAAGGCAAAATAATGCTATAAAATGGTCTGGCTGCTTTAGTGGCTTTTAAATACCATAGGCAAAAAGAGAGCTAAAAATGGTATCTTAACAAATACAACCTATTTTTCTTATTTACATTCAGTAATTAAACTTCTAGAGAGAAATTTTTAAATATTCCTTGCATTTTATTTACAAGTGCTACATAATTCCATTTAGTATGAACTACTAAAAAGTAAAAACTAATTTACATCATTTTTTTAAAAAGACAAAAAATAAAAAGACATTAAACAGTTTGACAATTAGTCTATTTTGACATATTTTGATATTTTTTTAAATGTGAATTGGTCTAAGTGGAATTATTCTGGTACTTTAAAGACAATCTTCAAATGATAAGAATAAAAATCACTAAAATAAACATTTTTCATAATTTTGCCATACCTTTAGCTAAAGCTTCTTTATATTTCTCTCTGGCAGAATTCATTTCTTTTATCAACTGTCTATAGCTGGACTTTAATTTTTCTAATTCTGTCTTTGTAACCTGTCAAAAAAAATGCAAAACAAATTTTAAATGATTAAATTTATATTTGTCAAGAACTTAAGTCCTAATATATTTTTATTGCTTATAGATCAGAGTTGTTCCTTAATATACATTATAGACAATATATTAAACACTGGTTTAGAAATCAATGATAAATTCAACGCCATATGAAAAAAGAAAAACATCTCTTAAAAATAAAAGCAAATCAAGAAATAGTGCTGTCATCATCTAAAATTTAAAGACCAATAGATTAATATACTATGTATAAAATATTTTTTCTAAAAAATATTTATTTTAATATACAGAATACAATTTACCAGTTCTAACATGAGTTTTTTGGTTTTTGTGTTTTGGGTTTTTCAGATATTGTAACATCACTTAAAATAAGATGTATCTAACAATCACTGTTGGCTACATAATAATCATGACAGTGGTCATTACATACATACATGAAATCTGTTATTCTATCTATGGAAAGACTAAACAAATGCAGGTCCTTGATTCTGTACCCAAAAAACACTTAAAAGTCTGCTCTGTCTGAAATTAATATAGCTACTTCTACTTCCTTTTGATTAGGATTAGCATAGTATATCTTTCTCCGTCCATTTACTATCAATCTATATGTGTCTTAATATCTAAAATGGGTTTATTGTAGACAACATATACTTGGGTCTTGTTTGTAAATCCACTCTGAAATGTCCCTTAATGTGCTCATTTAGACCACTGACCTTCAAAGTACTTATCCATACACTTGGATTAATAGGTACCATATTTGTCAGTTTCCTAATTGTTATCCTTGTTATTTGTTTCTATTTCTAACACTCTTTTTTCTACTTTTCTGTGGTTTTAAGTGAGTATTTTATACAATTCCACCCTCTCTTATTTCTTAGCGTATCAGTTACATTTCTTTTTTAACTTTTTTTTAGTAAGTGCCCTAGAGTTCACAATATGTATTTATAACTAATGCAAGCCTACTTTCAAAGACCACTATACCATTATACCACATTTCAAGGACCACTATACCACATAAGTATCTTACAATAACAAAATAATCCTAATTCCTCCTTCCCATCTATCATTGCTGTCATTCATTTAACTTATATATAAGCATACATAAACATATATCTATATATATATATACACACACAAGATATATTCATGACTGTACGTAATCAAATGTTGCTGTTACGATTTTCAATAAAGTGTTATGTGTTAGATTAATTAAGAGTGAGAAACATAAATTTTTACTTTATCTTCACATTCCTTCCCCAGTGCTCTTCCTTTCATGATGTAGATCTGAGTTACTGACCTATATTATTTTCCTTCTCAGTCCACTGGATACAAATTTCCTCAATTTTTGTCTATCAAAGAAAGTCTTTATTTCATTTTTGAAGGATAATTTCACAGGGCATAGAATTCGGGGAAAGTGGGTTTTTTCTCTCAACACTTAAATATTTCATTCTACTCCCTTCTTGCCTACTTAATTCTGAGGAGAAATCAGATGTAATTCTTATATGTTCTTCTATACGTTAAGGTGCTTTTGTACTCAGGCTTCTTTCAGGATTTTTTCTTTATCTTTGATTATCTATAGCTTGAAATCAACATGGCTAGGGTGTAGTTTTTTGGTCATTTATTCTGTTTGGTGTTCTCTGAGCTTCCTAGAACTACTGTTTGGTGTCTGACATTAATTTGGACAGATTCTCAGTCATTATTATTTCAAATATTTCTTGTTCATTTCTCTCTTTCTTCTCCTACAGGTATTCCATTATACATATGTTACATCTTTTGTAGCTGCCCCACAGTTCTTGGATATTCTGTTCCATTTTTTTTTTTTCAGTCTGTATTCTCTGCTTTCAGTTTTATAGAATGCTACTGATATATCCTCAACTTCAGAGATTATTTCCTCTATTGTGTCTAATCTCCTATTAAGCCCTTCAAAGTCATTCTTCACTTCTATTAAGGTATTTTAGATCTCTAGTATTTCTTTTTGGTTCTTTCCTAGGATTTCCAACTTTATGCTTACATCACCCATCTGCTCTTTCGTACTTACTTTATCCATTAGAGCCCTTAGCATATTATTCATAGTTGTTTTAAGTTCCTGGTCTGATATTTCCAACATCCCTGCTGTGTCTGGTTCTGATGCTTGTTCTGTCTCTTCCAATTCTGCATGTTTGGCTCTTGGTATGCCTTGTTATGTTTTCTTGATTGCCAGGCAGATTGTACCGAGCAAAAGGAACTGATTAAACAGGCCTTTACTAACGTGGTGATAAGCTGCCAGAAAAAGGGAAAGTATTTTACAGCCTATGATTAGGCCTCAGTCTTTTACTGAGCCTACACCTCTGGCTATGAACTTCACATGTGTTCCTCAGCTCACTAGCCCACTCTCCACTCCGAGTGGACAGGAGTTATGAATCCCCCTTGCCCCAGATCAATTAGGTTACAGGTAAACAGTTTCTCCTAAGCGACTTTATTAAGAACAGAATGCTTTGGCATATGGCAAAATGGTTCCTTTTCCCTCCTGAAGCATGAGATTTTTCTCCAATATTCACTGTGAGAACCTGGTAGAGGTCTAGGAGGTAAAATTCACAGAAGTGTGTAGTTCCCTCAATAAGTAGCTCCTCCTGGAGGTTTTAACTGTCAGAGTTGTCCACACTGAGCGTCCAGAATTTGTCACTTACACTCCAGGTTTTCCTATAACCAGTACTATTTCCCAAAGAGGCTTTTGCTCTGATAAGTTGTAATTCTCTGTATTCGCTTGTCTGTCTCTCCAATTTTAGGGGGAGCCATTTGCCCTGTCACGTCACTTCTCTTAAGGATCTAAAAGCAATTGGTGATTTTTCTATTTGTTCAAATTTTAACTCCTTGTTAGGAATGAGTGACAACTTCTAATCTTCTTATATGCTGGACTGGAAACTGGAAGTCTTTACTTCTGAAGTTGCTAAAGAACCAATTCATGTTCTCCAAGCTGGCTTATTAATTGCAAAAAGCAAGCATTTATCCTGATTCTTGTATATGAACGATACCTCAGGGTAGCCAAGTAGGTGATATAACAAAACTTTCTACTGAAAAATTATAGCTAACAATCATATTAGGAATGATAGAAGTAAAATACTGCCATTTTACAACCCCTAGTAAAATAATGGATCTAAGCAGTGAACATCAATTATTTCTAAACCTATTAGGTAAATGTCTGAAAAGAAACTTTTTTCATAGGTTGATCAGGCTAGCAGGACTGGAACCTATTAGACAAGTTTAACATCACAAATAGATAAACAAGATGACATTAGATATCTCTGATAGGGGGAAAAAAAACAGGAAGTCTATACCAGCACCTATCATGTATTCTTGCCCCAAATAAGTAGACAGAATGTTATCAAGCCAATCTAATTACTCTCCAGTTTACAGGAAAATTGAAGGATGAAGAAATATGTGAAATCACATCACAAGATGCTAACAATAAAGTCAAAAATTAAGGAACTTCAATTCTATAGAGCAAATTACCCAATTTCTTCCACAAATAAATAGCATTTTTAAAAGGTTGGGAGTGGTAGGTGCCTGGGTGGCTCAGTCAGCTTAAGTGTCCAACTCTTGATTGAAGTTCAGGTCATGATCTCAGGGTTTGTGTGATCAAGCCCCACACTGGTTTTCTGCACTGACAGCGCAGAACCTTCTTGGGATTCTCTCTCTGACCCTCCCCTGCTTTCACATGCATGTGCTCTCTCTTTCTCTCTCAAAATAAATAAACTTTAAAAAAATGGGGGGGGGGAACCTACAGATTAAAATTATTCAAATGCATGTTTGGGTCATGATTCAAATGAACCAACTGTAAAAAAACATTTAAAAAACAATCAGTTGAGCACAGTCAGAATATTTAATAACATTAAGAAATTACTGTTATTTTTAGGTAGGTTAATGATAATATAGTTTTTTTTTAATATTTATTTTAGCAATATATACTAAAATATTTATGGATACAATGATATCTGAAATTTTTTAAATGGTTCAGTGTATTAGAAAATGGAGGTGAGTATAGATTTTATAAAACCTTGACTATGTGGGTGGATCAGTCAATGGGAGTTTGTTTTACTATTCTCTCTCCTTTTGCACATTTGAAACTTTCATAATAAAAAACATTTTAAAAAGTTACCCAGAAAAAAACAAACTCTGATTGTGAAAAAAATTTTAGAAATATCAAAACTCATTTATTTTGCCTGTATTTTCTTTTCTATTATATGCATAGTAAAAATTAAAATCATAAAACTTAAAAGAGCTACTGCAGTAAGTAAAAAATAAAAATTCAAAGTGATAAGAGAGCACTGTATCATAGTCTAATTGGCAGCATTCTTTTCTTTCAGAAGAGTATATAAAGTAATAGTACAGCTTATAATCAATAATGTTTTATAATAAATAGGAATAAAATATCACTTATTAGAGACACCAAAACCTATTTCTAATAATAAAATGATGGCCAACCAACACATGAAAAAATGCTCAACATCACTCATCATCAGGGAAATACAAATCAAAACCACAATGAGATACCTCCTTATACCTGTCAGACTGACTAACATTAACAACTCAGGCAACAACAGATGTTGGCGAGGATGCGGAGAAAGAGGATCTCTTTTGCATTGTTGGTGGGAATGCAAGTTGGTGCAGCCACTCTGGAAAATAGTATGGAGGTTCCTCAAAAAACTAAAAACATAACTACCCTATAACCCAGCATTTGCACTACTAGGTATTTATCCAAGGGATACAGGTGTGCTGTTTCAAAGGGACACATGCACCCCCATGTTTATAGCAGCACTATCAACAACAGCCAAAGTATGGAAGGAGCCCAAATGTCCATCGATGGATGAATGGACAAAGAAGTATGCTAGATATATACAATGGAGTATTACTCGGCAAGCAAAAAGAATGAATTCTTGCCATTTGCAACTACGTGCATGGAACTGGAGGGTATCATGCTAAGTAAAATGAGTCAGAGAAAGACAAAAATCATATGACTTCACTCATATGAGGACTTTAAGAGACAAAACAGATGAACATAAGGGAAAGGAAACAAAACTAATATAAAAACAGGGAGGGGGACAAAACAGAAGAGACTCAAAAATATGGAGAACAAACTGAGGGTTACTGCAGGGGTTGTGGGAGGGGGGATGGGCTATATGGGTAAGGGGCATTAAGGAATCTACTCCTGAAATCATTGTTGCACTATATGTTAACTAATTTGGATGTAAATTTTAAAAAATCAAAAATAAAATAATAAACAAATAAATAAATAAATAAAATGATGACTAAACAATTTTTAAAAGTCAAACAAGATGAAATATTTCAGTGAGTCTCAAAGTCAAATTAAAAAAAGAATTCCAGAATAAAAAGACAAACCTTGATCATCTCTGCCTCTATCTGCTGATGAACACCTATAAAACTTTTCTTCATCTGTTGCTTATCTTTAATCATCATGGTGAGCCTGTGTAAAGGTCCAGAATTTAGGTCCTCTGCATGTGTCTTCATTATTCTACTAAGTTGCTCTGTCTGCTGAATCATAAGTAGCCAAGACTTTAAAAAAAGAAAGAATGAAAGAAAATTAGCACTTGTATTAAAGGCTGCCATTTAGCTGTGCTTTAAGTGTTCTGGAACTTTAAATATTTAGTTTTACAGAAATTATTACATTAATACAAAAATGCCAGGTTTCTCGCAATTGTGCAAGGAGCTATGAATGGCTCAGATTTAACATCTTCAACTTCAAGTACAAATGCTTCAAAATTTAGTAATCAGAGACTATGTAGTATTGGAGGAAAGGGATTAAGGCTCTTCGAGAGTTCACACTTGCAGTCTTCATTTTATCACTTCTTGTCTCTTTGTCAATATGTTGATATAATCCTTCTGCCTACACCATACTGATGCCTCAGTACGGTCACCATTTCCTAATGGTCAAATGCAACAGATATTTACCCGTCTTTATCCTTAACATTTCTCTCTGTGGCATCTGATCTTGCTGACCCACTCACTCCTTCCTGAAACTCTTCTTTTCTGGTTTGGATGGCTTCTTATATTCCAACATACCAATTTGTCTTCTCCTTTTCCTAAAAATCCCTTCTCAATCTTTGTACTTGCTATTCATTTGCTGCTTATGTATTAAATACTGGTAATCTGTGGATTTCTATCTATTCTCGTTTCTTAGTAAATACCATTAGCTCTCAATGGTTTTTCCAGCACAACACATTCCATCAATAGCAGACACACATAATGGTGGGGTTTGGGACAAGTCAGCATATGGATACTGCTGGAAGAACAAGTCATTTGTTATTAAACATTCTAATTTCTAGATCCAAAAAAAAAAAGCAACTGAGGAATACTCTTCACTATAGATCTTCAAAATTCTATCCAGAAACAATTGTTGGAGATATACCATGGTTGGGTAAGATCCATGTTAAAGATTAAAAAAGTAGACAAGGTATGATTTCAGATATTTATTGATTAGAATAAATTGTTATGCTATTACTTATGATCTGTGAATGAACAGGATTACCCTCCATTGGTTAATGTTCTGATATAATCCTAAATCAAAATTTAATAAGCATCTAAATCAAAATAATAGCCTAAAAGAATCAAATTCTTAGTCATAGTCAAAACTCACCAGGGTCTAACTTAGTAATCTTGTTTTTGGTAAACTGTAATATACATTTTTTTAAAAGTTAACCTTTGAGTACATTTTTTAGGGAGAAGGGCATTCTTAGTTATGAAATGTTATTATGAACATGGAGTAAAATGTGACCAATAAACTCATTATATTTACTTTCAGATTCAAAACTCTAAGTACTAATAATATGCTCTTGATACCACAAAGGAATTTAAAACTGATATATCTCTTCCATTAAAATATAAAATTTAACAAAGATGAAAACAGTAAAAAACAAAACTATACAAACATGGATTAAAAACAAACTAAATAGGGGCGCCTGGGTGGCGCAGTCGGTTGAGCGTCCGACTTCAGCCAGGTCACGATCTCGCGGTCCGTAAGTTCGAGCCCCGCGTCGGGCTCTGGGCTGATGGCTCAGAGCCTGGAGCCTGTTTCGGATTCTGTGTCTCCCTCTCTCTCTGCCCCTCCCCCGTTCATGCTCTGTCTCTCTCTGTCCCAAAAATAAATAAAAAACGTTGAAAAAAAAAATTTAAAAACAAACTAAATATCCTAATAACTTCTGTAACTTGGCCTTTTTCATTTTTGTATTTTCACTCTAAAAAATACAATGCTGGGAAAACACTATGTAGCATGTTCAGAATGTTAAAACTACGAAAAAATAAGAGGAATCAGTGTTTCATTCTCTATCTTCAAAAATTAAATATTCTCTAAGTGCTTCATAGCAATAAATTTTTGTAATTTTACATAAGACTCTTTGCGGCCTAAGAGAGAAGCCTTCTTGGAAGCCAACATTAAAGGTGAGACAACAAAGTCAGATTGACCTCCTCCTCCCAGGAGGGCACATCTCATCCTGCCTAATGGTCCTGTTTACCGTAGTCACTGTGGGAAGTCCAAGCATCCCAAGATATATATCATCACGCCAATTACCAATCCTATGTTGCCCTCAATATTTCCTAATGTGACTCGGGAACTCTCTAGAGAATCCTGTACCCTCAAAAGCTCCTTAAAAACTCCTTACACCTCATATCAGAACGTTCCACTTACCTTCTAGCTTTTACAAAAACCTGGCTTTAACCCATTCCCAACATCCTAATAGCTAATAAATAAAACCACTCTTCCTAAAAAAGTCCCTGCTCCTTTGAAGTTCAGGTCACCCTTCCCAACAATCTATCAGCAAGCCTTTCTGATTCTCTCTCCAAAGTCTACCACAAATCCACCCACTTCTCTCCATCTCCACTGTCTTTTGGAAGTTATGACTATCTCTGGCTTAAATTATTACAAAACCTCCAAATTGGTGTCCTCTTTTTACTCCTGCTCCTCCCCAATCCACTGCCTTCAAAGTAGCAAAAGAAATTCTAATTCTCTTGCAAAAAAAACCCTACATTGCTTTTCCTTTGCACTTAAAAACAAAAATCCAACTTATTTCTAAAACCTAGTTGTCTCAGATTATCCATCCTCTGTCTGTCCTTCCAAGTTCACATTTTGCTATTCTCTACCCAACTAAATAAATAAACCATTGTTTTCCTTCAGTTTCCTGAACATTCACTCTTTCTCAAAGCTCACCCTCTCTTTCACTTGGCAAGACCCATCTCTTCCTTCAGGAATCAACAAAACCTTATGTAGGTGTAATCCTTGCTTTTCTCTCTCTTAGCACTTGAAACAACTATCTGTATGTATACTTGTTTGGTTTTTTTTCTGTCTCCCCAACCAGAATGCAAGCTCCAGGGGAGTGGTACCATAACTCTTTCCTCACTAATTTAGGTATTTACTGTGATGCCTTAAATAGCTACTAAATATTCTTTGAAAGAAGAAAGGAAGGGAGGGATGGAGGCAGGGAGGCACAAATGTAAAAGAAAACCATGAATTAAATACATGCCATTAAAAGATATTTTCATTGTTTATAACCGGAAATAGAATGATAGCAATGCCAATTATGACAGGGAAGAAAAAAATTAACGGATCTTCAACTAATACAACAAAGGGAGAGGAGCAGTACATAATGCAATTATGAAGCAATGCCTAAAAGGAATGCGTGAGTGGGCAAGAAAATGTTTGGATAGTATATAATTTGAATTAGACAGGTGACTAGAATATTTGTTATAAAGAGAAGAGAGTAAAATGTTAACAGATGCTTGATAAACAAAAGTAAAGGAGTACTTCAACATTTGCAATAGAACTTGTGCAGCACTTTGCAGATATGGCTCTTTGGTTATGGCACAGGAATGGCCAGGGCACAGACAAATTATCTGTTGACCAGGATAATTTGTGGAACATAACTCTTTGTAACTTAATAAGCAAAATACTGTAGGCCACTGGCAGGCATTCAAATTTCTTTATTATACAGAATCCTACGTAATGGTAATAATTCTGCTAATAATATTCCTCATAAAGGGATTTTACTAGTAGTTACTCACTGATGCTGAACACTAGGTAAGTTAAGAAATATTAACAAATAAAAACATCTAAAGTTCAACTTCAAAAAAATAATCATAGCAAAGAATAATAATACAATGTCTAAACACAACCATTGTGGTTAAGTTTATAAAACAGAATATAAATATATCCTAACTATTGAGAAAAGAGCTACAAAATGTAAATGTAGTAATAATGTAACTATAAAAAACTAGACAAAAAAATCTAGTGGATAGTAACAAAAACCAGGAATGAGAATTTGATGAGAAAAGTGTAATTATTTCCATTTTCCCTCTTTTCAAATAGAAGAGTGTATAGACAGCTCTACATCTAAAGTTTGTAAAGAAATATGGACTTAAGTTTAAAATTTTTAAATTTCAAAAGTTAAACAAGTGAATGTTTAGGAAAAAAAAAACTATACAGACCATCTAAGTTATCAAAAGTACTTTTTGAAGAAAGTTAACATTGCCCATTAAAAAAAGAAAGAGAGCAAAAGAAACAAAAAATTATTGACAATTAAAAATGAGTTGCAAAATAAAAATTATACTAAACACATCTGTTAAACATTGTATGAAAATATTATCTGTTAAACATCTATGAAAATTCAGGTAAACATTATCAAATCAGAGGAGGGAACTTCACTCTAGGCAATAAATAAGAAACATCAGTAAAATAAAATAACATACAACAACAAAAAGACAAGTAAAACTACCCCAGAAAAATATAAACAATAGGATTCAGTACTCATTATGTCCAAATAATTTCAAATTGAATTCTAGACCCAAAATATAAAACAAAGAAGGGCACATTATGATGCAGAAGAATATCAATTACAATGAACATATAACTGTCAGGAATCTTTTCATTCCAGAAAACAGTACATCAAAACACACAAAGCAAAACAGTAGAAAATGAAATGAGAAATCAAAAGTAGCAGGAGAATTAAATGTACTCATCTCTACCTATGACAGATAAACTAAAAAAATAAATAATGCAGAGTATCTGAATAAGTAATTTAATAATGAATATGTTTGATCTATATTACATATAAAAATCTATATACCTCCCCAGGTATAGAAGATATGTATTTTTAAAGAATCTATGGAATATTCATTTTTTTTAACTTTATTTTGAGACAGAGAGGGAGTGAGCAGGGGAAGAGCAGAGATTGACAGGATGAGAGAGAATCCTAAGCAGGCTCTATGCTGTCAGCGTGCAGCCTGATGCATGGCTCGATCCCACGAACCATGAGATCATGATCTGAGCTGAAATTGAGAGTCAGATGCTTAACTGACTAAGTCAGGTGCCCCAAATCTATGGAATATTCCTAAAAATTAGATGATATTATACTACAAAAAAATTTATAAATTTCTTCAAGAATAGAAAATAGTACATACTAACTATACTTTCTATCTAGCCTCTTACAAGGAAAAAAAGCAAAGAAAAAATCACTGACAGAATTTTTTAAGAAAAAAATAATTAAATCATTTCTTAAAAATGGATA